AGCCTCCCAAGTAGCTGGGACCACAGGCGCCCGCCACAACGCCTGGCTATTTTTTGGTTGCAGCCATCATTGTTGTTTGGCGGGCCCGGGCTGGATTTGAACCCGCCACCTTAGGTGTATGTGGCTGGCGCCTTAGCCGCTTGAGCCACAGGCGCTGAGCCAGAACTTTAATTTCTTGTCTATTCTATTACTACTTCTCTTCTTGTCTCTTTTCTCCAATAACAGTTTCTCCCTTTCTACCTTTCCTGTGTCCAGTTCATCAGGGGTGTTTTTTCCCAAAACACAGATCTGAGCATATCACCCACAAAGTCATTCAGTGGTTTTCCATTACCTGCAGGATAAAATCAGATGCATTAGTAGGTACCTGCAGCCCTCCGTGATTTTCCTCTAGTGTGCATTTAACCTACCACCATCAACAACCAAGCACACGCTCCAGTTATATTGAGTGGTCAGTTCCTCAACATGCAGCAGTTGTTCACACTTAGTGCTGGGAGTGCTGCTGAGCACCCACCCCACTGCCATGCCCCTTCTGTACTCCTGCTTCTGTGTAGATGTTTCTGTCTTCACCTGGTGCTTTTCACACCCATCCTTTACAGTATTCACTGAGTTGTGCTATGTTTATGTCTCCCTACTATAACCTTTTGAGGCATCCTTACTCTGTTTTGAATCCTTGGTCCCTCATAAACAGTAGCTTCATGATGGAAATGTGTTAAGAGACTGTATTTTCTTTTTAACTGCAGGAGTAAAAAGAGAAATTATGAAAATAACTCTATTGCAGTTTTCTTTTAAAGTGAAGATAAGTTTTATTTTGAGTACTTTTAACATGTATTAATTTCCTTCCTAGTTGTATGAAGCCTGTCGTTACCTTGCAGCTAGATGCCATGTAAGTATAGTCTCAGTTAGATTCTTAATTTGGTGAAAGTTTGATGTTGCAAAAGTTATGTGTCCCTCTTCTTCCTGTGAGGATTTCAGTGATAGAGCATGGCAGGATGGTAAAATGTTTCGTAAGGAAATATCTTTTCTTTATTATTGTTTGCCGTAAAATACTGATTCTTCATTTACTAAAAGTGGGAATGCATGAAGAAAATTTTACCTTAGATATTTTAAAATTTAAGTAACGGATATAATATTTATTACCCTTTAAAGATCTAGAGTTTGTCATGGGTGATGAGTGGTATTTCTGTTTTCTACATAGTATGCTGCAAAAGAACACCAACAGGCCCTTGATATTCTTGATATGGAGGAACCAATCAACAAAAGATTATTTGAAAAATACTTAAAGGATGAAAGTGGCTTGAAAGACCCCTCGAATGACTGGGAAATGTCACAGTCCTCAGTAAGTAGTACTGTTAGCATGCTTCAATAACAATGATAAGAATTGCCTATATTACATGGCAAAAATAGTCTTCTTTTACTTGAGTATTACCTTATTAAAACAATTATGTTTCTAGCCGGGTGTTATGGCAGGTGCCTGTAGTCTCAGCTACTTGGGAGACTAAGGCAAGAGAATTGATTAAGCCCAGGCGTTTGAAGTTGTGGTGAGTTGTGATGCCACAGCACTCTACCCTGGGTGATAGTTATGTCAAAAAAAAAAAAAAAATTATGTTGCCAACCTTAATTTGGCAACCACATACCAAGAGGATTCTGAGATATTTCAGAATCATCAATTGGAAGCTGTAGTTAGGTCTTTAGACACTGCCTGCATCTTAAGAAGGTTGACTTGAGATCTTTCTCATATTTGATGCCTAAACTGCTCCCTACCAGTAAAATAATTTTTCCCTTCTTTCTGTAATTCAGTAGTGTTTCGGACCTACCCTAAAAATCCTTCTTGATTAGGTTCGATGGTTTCTTTCTTTCCAAGAAATGGTTTGGTGTTACTAATTTACTTCACAGTGTTGTTTGTTATATTATTTTGTATATTTCAGTTTGTATACTTTATCTCTCTGTGAAATTGTAAATTCCTTGCTGGCAGAAATTGTGAGATAATTTAATAAATGATATCCATAGTCAGATCACTAAGATTATTATTATTTTTTAAACAGTTCATCGAGGTGTGATTCACATACCATGCAATTTACCTGTTTAAAATGTGTAGTTCGATGGCTTTTACTATATTCACAGGGCTGTGCATACTTCACTGTGATCAAATTTAGAACATATTTATTACTTAGAAGTCCTCTGCTCATTAGCTGACCCACCAATTCCCCCATTTTCCCAGTTCTTTATAACATGTTTGTGAGGGAACTTGGTTACTATACTTTTCTGCTTTATAAAGTTAGGAATATTTTACTTTCCAGGTGTTTTTTTTTTTTCTTCCTTTTTGACCATTAATTTATGGCCAAAAAGCATATTAATTTTTCCTGCTAAGAAATGCATTAATGAGTGTGTTTGATATTATCATTATTATTTTGGAACCTCTTACCTATTTTCTGCTTAAGAAATGCACAATTGGCTCGGCACCTATAGCTCAACCGGCTAAGACGTCAGCCACATACACCTAAGGTGGCGGGTTCGAATCCCCAGCCTGGACCCGCCAAAACAACAATGACGGCTGCAACCAAAAAAT